ATAAGTTGATAGATTCTATCGGACTCGATGTCATTTATTAAATGGTAATCCACCTGCTGTGAGAATTGTACATCCCATTTTAAATATTGGGTACTTATGGAGTGTGCAATTCACGCAATAAATAACTCATTTTCTTGATAAACAGCCTTACTTTTAGTACTTCAGCAAGTAACCTGAAAAACTGTCATTGTTTTTAAGGTCCTTAGAGAATTATTAGCACTCTTAATTACGAATTTGGACAACAAACTGAATTTGACATAGTTATACCCGTTTTCAGTAAAGTGAATACATGTAGCTGTAAGCTGCCAAATAACTGATTCTTCTTTTTGTCGGGTGCTAAAAATAATAAGTTAATTCTTAAGTAAGTGCCATCTGCTAATAAACTGATTCCCAGAGTGCTCAGCCTGGCTCCTTTGTATAAATGTGTGAGCACCTGAATTTCGTTCAAGTTGTATACCTGTCTTGGTAGAAAATTCTCAGTTTGTAGGACTTAAAGTTGATAATTAAGATGACATTCCGAATAATACTGAGAATTCAATAGAAAAGTTGTTAGCGACTATGCGAAACATAACAGCCATTTTCCTTCAGTAGTGAGGCTTGAACCATACTCAGGTTTCTATTGTACTATAAAATTACTAATATTCCTAAATAAATGTTTGTTATGAATTTATTTCTACATACATATGAAGTGTTCACTCTTTAGATGGTGAAAAACACTTAACTGAATGCAAATTATGACACCAATCTATTTGTTATGAATGCATAATTTTTCAATAATTTAGACGCTACACATATTAACTTTGACGAATATCGTCAATAATGTGGAAAAGTCTCCTCCAAATATTTTCACATCTATTTGTGGATCAAGAATATTTTATAAATTATACCAAAGATTTTCCAGTCTTTGCTGTGAAATTGTATTGCAATATATCATGTCCCATTGACAGTCATCAACTTCTCACAAATGTATTTATTTAACACTTACAAAAATCAAGTGCAACAAAAGAGCATGTTCTTTTTGTCATACGTCCTATCCTAATAGCATATGTCGAAATTCTTCGTTATCGTGGACTGGCATCAGTTGGGGAAGTATTAGAAACGTGAGAGCACTGGACAACTGCTTCATCATAGTGTGAGATTCCTTAGCAGTGCACACCCATGGTCTCGCAAAGCAACGAGTCGAAGACGTATAGGTTCCTCGACTTGAACTTCTCCATTGAACCACTGAGTTAGAATAAAATGTTTTACATTTTTTAATTCTGTCAGTTCACGATATAGTGAATTCTGGGTTCTACCGGTAACGAGGCCATGGGTGTGCACTGCTATCACCGCTATCAGTTAGTGTTATCCAAAAAAGCTATGTGCATAACAAGTACCTATGAAAGTAATCAAATGTGTGCTAAAAACAACCTTCATTTCTTTTCGTCCATATAACAGTTAGTTTAAACCGCAATACTTGATTGTGGTTAAAAAACCAAACTACTGTTCATCCTGGTGACTGGCAGCGGCATCAGGGAAGTGCATTTTGTCTTATTCAGAACTCGTCAGTTGGATGTACCTGCATGACAGTGAGTGATGTTTCGCCATTTGGGATTCGAGCCCACTGCCAGTCACTTGGAACCCCAAAGCGTTATCCATCTGGTCAGGAGCCTATCTGCAACTAGAAGTCAACCAACTGGACCCTGTATATCAGCGGGAAATTACAAGTATCAGACAAAAAGCTACTGTTCATTTTCTTAGATTGCATTAATTTATTCAAGATGTATTTCGATATATGACACAAATCTATCCGTTTTTTAAAAGACATCAATACAATTTTGTGTATTGTTGTTCATAAGGCGTAGATTTCATCTTGTTGCTTTTGTGTACAAGTTTTCTATTCCACACTTGTATTGAGTTTTTTCATTCATTAGTACAGTACAAAAGGAAAATGTGGCCGGTAAGATAATTATTCGAAACAGAATAAAATTAACAATCACAGGGAGAATAATAACAAAAACAGAATTCATAACATATGACGAATCGAATGAAGTTGCGGACCATCAATATTTTGTGTGAATATGGTTCTCCATTCAAGTAATCATTCGATTTTAGACCCTTCGCTTTTACATAAAATGAATCAAAATATATGCAACAGATGAAAATATGTTCCCTCTGTGTACATTTGCATTTGTGTGTGTATATATGTGAAATACTTCACTCATCTGATTTCTTTTTCCGAAGTTTTTCTGCTTATTAATTCTACTAATTATTTACAATGGGAAGTTTACATTTATTAGTTTTGAATTCTAAAGAATCCTTAATTTATTTATTCGGAATAATTTACTTCTCTATAATAGTCATTTTAAAAGAACTTATAAATAATAAAAAGTAATACAGATATAAGGATAGAGCAGCGTGAAGCATAAGTGAACCGTTAAAACGATGTCAGAATTGAAATAAAGGAAGCAGTGTTTTAAACAATGGAATATTGTGGCAAATAAAACGTTCTTCATCATGAGCTGAGTTGCGTATCTACATAATAACTTATGAGGGACATGGTGGATAAACACATGAAGTTTATATTCATGGTTTATACAAACCACTCTAACGATGTCACTGGAAGTGGCTTAGTAAGATGGGTAACTGAATAAATAGGAAGGCGCTGAACAGTGTACAACACGCTGTAATGTAAGAAAAAGCAGTTAGAGGACACCAATAAGGTAAAAATAGTTGATAATATTAGAAGAAATTGGGAGAATGAATCTGTCAACTAAAAAGAAAAGCAGGTGAATTCCTACTAAGACAGTTAAATGTCTATTGTAAGCTAGAAAATTACACAACCTGTAAAACGCTAATTTTGGTGCTGAATTAGCTGTTTTAGAGTAGGATATAAGTTTATGATTCGCTACTCATTTCTTAAAGTTATAAAGCTGATAAAGTTAGATTAGTTTATGAAATTGTAATATTTGACTACATCTTCCTGCCAGTTAGTAGCAGTCTTAGGTTCCCACTAGCTAAGATCTTGAATCTTTTAACCTCTTTGAGGTCAGGTTGGTGTAAAATATTTGAGTAGCGGTTTATCAGTGAGTTCAGTAATCTGAATTTTGTTAAAATCGTTTAAAAGATTACACTGATTGGCAGCATTAACTGTCATCGTATCTGGCCAAGGCAACACGGAAATAGGTAGTTAGATTTCAAGCCTCTCCTTTAGATACATTGGAAAGTGAAACCAGGAATCAAAGTTACGTAGTCAAGAAAGGTTGGTTTCCATACACACATAGGTGTTTATGAAGTCTTACGAATGCTACATTTATTCTTGTCATTGAATTAAGCGAATACTGAGTTTTTATTTCAACATCATTTTTGCGTTTGTATGTGTGAATATTTTTCGCTTCTTTTGTAAGTAGGTTCATCTAATTGTCACATAAGATAGTTTTTATTCAATTTATTTTATGGATAACCAGTTTATTTTAAAGCAAACTACTTTCCCATCTCACTTGTTTTAATCATTTCTCTCATCCTCTCTTCCTTCTAAAGTCTTTTCGACTACAATCTCTTCCTGTTCATTAGATCGTTTCATTCAATGTCTTTAATATTTAATTCTCTGTCCTAAAATCAATTATAAAGTGATAATCTACTGAATGCTTTCTTTTCTTCATTTATGGATGATGATAATAAAGTTTTTCATTCTTCATTTGTATTTTTCTGTCATGACTTGTACCCCATAGGTCAATTGATGATTATTTTATATTGAGGTTGTAACATCTTGTGCTGGTGATTTTGTTGTGTTTGGTTTCATTCAAACTCGTTCTGTTTGTTATATTCATATACATTTATATATGGTGTATTTATGTGGGCAGATTAAAAAAAGACGTAATACATTAACCATCCTAATGGTCATTTCTACAAGTCTAATGATATTCGGTCAGTTTAAATCTCATGGGAAAGTATACAGATTACGTTTTAGAGAAATCAAAGATTAATCTACCCCAGGGGCATATAACATTAGATATAATAGAGAAGAGTAAGTAAAAATGATTTAATCAGGAAAAGTCTTGGTGTATAACTTCATGCTCTTTGTATTCCATAATAAAAAAAATAGTTTCCACTGTTAAATAAAACAAATGGTCAAAGAGGAATAAAAATAAAAATATGTTAGGAATCTTCATACAAAAATATTGCTGAGAGTAATTTCTGTCATATTTTCTCATAAGTTTACTAGAATAAGGCGTGATTTAGAAAGATAGTATCAGTAAAAGTGCCTTCTATTGTGTTAAGATCAGTTTTCCCCTTCTACTGATCAACTCAAATCATCTACTTTACTTTGACTATCTGGCTGGCATTTGTAATCCCAGTAGATTATGAAATTAAGCAAATTTTAGTGAAAGTGGTGATAGAAAACTTTCAAATTGCTTACACAGTATGGGTTGCTTTATGAATGAAGAGATATTAGGCTTCAAATCATAGGTTAGTCTTATATAAACAGAAGTACCAGTAATTGTTTGTACAGTTAAAACAGAATCATTGTTAATCACTAAAGGCATAGACGATATATATGATAAATTATATTCAAAACTCAATGAAATAGAAGTGTGTAGTCTTAAACACTTGGTGGTACTTTACATAACTTCACGAATTTTGAAGTGATACGTAATGATAGTCATAAAAAAGCAGTACCATACAGCTTTTTAAACCACATTTTACAATGCTTATGTTAAAATCTTGAGACACTACCCCGACATGAGCTCTAAATAGGCTTTATACCAATAATATAAATAAATGAACTGCTTATTTGGCTGAAAATCATAATGTAAGTACTGAATTGCATTTCAGATAGAAATCCATGCATCACTTCAAGATTTTAAAATTTAAGATAATTTTTAAAGGAATTTGCGACGAAAATTTAACAATCATGGAGATAATTTGTAAATGAAAGTAACAATTTCCTTTTTATATTTTGTTTCATAGCTTGCAATACTAACGTCGTTTCGCTTGAATTTCTTCCATAATTTTTAAAGGCGGACAGAAAACTCATACTGAATGTAACAAATGACTATCCTATCTTTGTGTATGGTCACGGTTGGTCATCAGTCAATCCGGATTTAACGTGTAAACAGCAGGAACTATTATGTAGACAGTTGCAAGCCGAAGATATATGTTTAGTACTGACCTATTGCGTTAACTCAACGGGTAAGAAAAACCGAATGGCTTCTTCAAAATCTTGCAGCTATAAAATGCCTTCTTTAACTGACCACGACCTGACAAAATGTGGTTTGCAACCTTCTCTAAAATCAGTCAAAACAGGATGTACTGGATACAAAAGTGATCCGAAAAAGTAAGATGAAGAGTATGTAATTACTGTTATTATCATTTCACACTTTTACTCAACATGGTAATTTAACCACCTTGTATTTCCTGAAATCTTGGTTTGTTTTGCTAAAAAATTAAAATCTGTATTTGGTTTCGCAACACATATTTGTTTGCAAATGAGTTTTTCTGATGGAGCATCCAAAAAGATACGCAATTCTAAACAGAATTAACTTTAAATTTTTAGATAGCTGGGAGACAATTTTTTGGAATCCAGGCGTAAGTATCAACATATATTGTAAGAGCAAGTGGGAAGTATGAACCTCTGGAAGGCGAAATACTGCAATCAAGAAATAAAAACATCCACAAAACTACAAAAAGAAACAACTTTTCTGCTTCTGGTATTGGAAATGGGATGATAGCTTATATGAATATTTGTACACAGCACAAGAATACGTTTAAAGCTTTTAGCCTATATGTCTATTTGCAGCTGGGAACGTGGCGTTTATTATAGCATTCACAACTGCCTTCGTTTAGTCGCCACCTTCATGACTAATTTATTGTGGTGTCTCAAACGTTCGTCGGATGGTAAAAACCCGTCAATATATATTCTGTGGGGTGAAGACAAACATGACAGAAATTCAGTCGTAATCGCAATATTTCTAGTCATAAACCTGCTATAGTGACAATCAGGAAGAGTTTTCTAACAAAATTTTCCCTCTCCATATATTTTACTTAACAATAGCACGTAATATGGTTCATAAACTTTTAGGGTTAAATGAACAGTTTGTTCTTTATTTAGGAACTGCGATGAATAATTCGAAAAGAACTTCTTAACAAACAAGAATCTGTCGGTTCTTTTTTCTATAATTTTATCGATGTTCGTGGCTTTTTATTCCCACTGAATGTCATTATCGGTTTTGGGTTTCTTCAACTGAATCTATGTTTATAACAAACATCTTTGTCACTCCGAAAACAGCGTATATCAGCTAGCATCTTTTCTCTATTTTTCAGTCACTTATGCTACGTCGCTTCATTAACAGTTTTCTGATATATTGCTTACTGACCTCCAATTTATTAAAGTGCAGTGTTTCTAATTATCTTTTTGCGTTAGAATGTTCTATTATTCTGACGCTTCTCAATAAATTTGAGGCTAAAAATGTTTGTGAGCAGGAAGATTCGATGATTCTTATTATGGTTTTCAACCACTTTCTGTTGTTTCTGAGTGTATCATAGGAATATTTTGGGAGAACTGTTAGAAATAAGTCTGCTATCACTAAGTAGACTTCATTCTGTAAATTACTCTTGCCTACTTCCGATGCACTGGATGTTGTGCAAAATACCTTACCTATCTTGAGATGATAGAAAGGTTATTATGAGCAACTTCTCCTAACATATTTCCTTCTATCTATTAAACGCGGTTCTGAAATATCTTCCAATCGACTGAAAGATGATTCTGTTATGATCCATACGTTCCCTTGACTGCTATCGTCTCTCACTGGCTCAAACTTAGCCTGTAACTCCATGCAAGGTAGCACTTTTAAAAATCACAGATATCCATAAAGTGTCAGAATAAGGAGAAGGCAAATACAAACGGTGGTTCAAGGCAAACTAAAATGAAGATTATAAACACGGGAAAAACTCAAATAGCTCACATAAGATCAAGAGACTCAATGAGAACAAGAAACCAAAAACTGAAAGACCACTGACTTAAAATAGTCATCCGTTAAGAACATAGTCGTTCAATATTTCAGGTTTAAAGCGGAAGAAGTTAAACACTCTGCAAAATGCAACACAATATATATTCATTCGCGTAACGAACTCCTGCAAACGCCAATTTAAGATTCATTTTACTCTTAATTCTTCGTGTTCTTTTGAGAATGAAAGTGAGAATGCCGTTAAACGCTCTACTTTGAGACTCCTAGTTTGGAAAATAAATCTAATACTGGATATCCTTCAGTCTGTCTTATTGATCTCAGGGTGCTTTCAGGACAGCAACAATTTTGTTTTTAAAGTTGAAAAATCTAAACTTTATTTAACAGAAATTCACTGGTTTAATTTTCATCAGTAGTTGGGGCTAATCTTTATCTAGCTATCTTTCGTGTAAAGCTACTTACTTACTGGATTTGACTATTAATTAATATTGGAAGATTCACGGTCTGAACTTTTCTGATTTGCCTAATAATTTTTACAAAATCCTCTCTGATATAGATATTTATGCAATTTAACTGAGATCTAATAACGAACAAATCTGGAAAAGAATGATAAGATTTTTTATTCGCATGCATCTCGTTTTCAGATGAATAAGATGTGAACCTCTGTGCAATACTGTGGACGAAAGTTTCTAGTTTTCATCCGAGCCTGACTTTTTGTCCAACTAGATGGATTCCCTGCTAATTTAACATTAGGCCTTACTGATATTGTTGTTCCTCTTTGCACTTGAATCGAAGCTATAATAAAAACCGAATTCTAATACATTACATATATTAGGGTTTATCTTTTTAGTTTGCAAAATGTTTGATAGCCGTAGTCATTGCTTTATATAACACTTTACGTTTCTACTTACATATATACATATGGGTAAATTTCATTTTATCGGGTGGTGGTAGCGTTAGTAAATGTATCAGTTTTAGGGGAACTGACTCACATTTTGAGCACGCTAGGGTATGAAATAAACTGTTCTCAGTTTTGAGGGGTCATTGAAATAATCTTTTAGCTCACTTGTAATACAACGAAGCTTGCTGTATCCCATAAGAATTCTGAACTCAAGGCCCTAACGGATTTAAATTTTGAGGCCGATTGTCCAAAAAGTCTGTAAAAACAATATGTATCCATAAAAAACACCAAAAAATGTCAAGTAAATGTCAGTGACTTTCTTCCGATGTGTAGTGTTTAAAGCTTTGATAATTCTGTGATGACTGGCAAACTGTTCTTCAGCATTTTATTATTGACCCTATTTATTTGTAAAGAAAATTAGGTAGTTTATGTAAACACCTAGCATTTGCTGATTTTAGCTAGGATCTGGGAGTGGTAAGTAGCTTCCCTGGTGACAGCTGACGACGGACACGAGGAATTTTATTTCTGTCAAAGTTCTCTTTGATGGTGAGTTTCTTAACCTCTGAACCATACAGTAAGTGTAGTTGACTAAATTTCGGCAGCAATTAAAGCCAAATAACATAGCACTGCTTATCATTTGCAGATTCATTTCACTCTGAAGATAAGTTGGTACCAATACCTAAAACATAATCTTCGACACAGCGATAAATATGCTATATCTCACTTAAATCGGTTATTATTTCTTTCTATTGGTTGCCACCAAGGATCTTGTTAAGCCTAAAAACATTAGTAAGAAGACTTTTAGTGTTAAAACTACCTGTGATACGAATTCGATTCAATTAATCATAATCATGCACTTAGAACTTTATTTGAACGATCACATTCAGTGGTTTAGAAGACTTGCAGAGTCTTGTCTTTGTTTAGGTAGACCTATATAAATTCCTGTCTTTTATTAGAGCTTCCAAGCAGCGAGGCAAAATGACACCAAGGAATGTAGTTGGAACGGTCTAGTAGGTGTAAGCGTCTGAAATTATTATAAAAATATTCCATTCCTTAAACCGAACCACTTAATGTCTCTAAGAAGTTATTGAAATACAAGTATTTGATTACTATAACAAATATTTAAGTGCTATCGAACTACGAGCATCTTAAGTTTTATTAAAATTAATCACATACTTTGACATATTCAGTGTATCAATGGCCAAAGTTTGTTTCTGTATATCTACCAAAACTCTTGGTTTGCCTAGTAATTTAGTTATTTCATCAGAAAAAGTTTTACACTTTCTCCAGAGGAAGATAGTCAGTTACGGGGACGTAAACTAAAATGTTGTAAAGTCATACCATAACCACTGAGGAACCACTGTCAGTGTCAAACATCAGAATGAATAGAGAAACATTCCATAGGTGAATGCATCGTGTATACTGGAAAGTGATCCTTCACCAAGGATCATATGCTTAACCTTTTATTAGTTCTTCACTGATTGGTGCCCAGAAAGACTATTTTTATCAAACCTAGTGGTTATTCGACTTGTAAAATAACTATATTAACAGTAGTCTTCTCTATCAATCCTGGCCTCTGCCTGCATACTAAACATCAAATTCTACTTTTTAACTTCTTCCATGAAACTTGGTAGTGTGACAGCAGTATTCCAGTAGTCACTTACTCAATATTCTGCATGAAGTTAATAGCATGGTATAGTAGCGATTTCTCCTCATCTGCCAACCCTTCAGTTTCTAAATAAATTTCAGGATTATATATCTCCTTGATCACTTAAATTTAAATTATTTTTGTAGGGTTAGGATGGGTCTGTTGATGTACTCAGTCTTATAGGTTGAGCTGTCAATGATAGCTTAAAAGACTGCATATTTGAATGAATATAAAGCTGTAGTTCAGCTGTAGTTGAAAAATCAGCCTGTGAACAATGAAATTAAACGTAATTTCAGACCCAAGTCATAACACTCAAATACCGAGAAAAAACGTCAACAAAAAACACTTTTTTAAGTGCACCACTATTTCACATCTATGAGGCCCAGTTATTTTAATACTTTTTTGTAAGTGATCACTGTGGTTTAACAAAAGTGGTTCTCATTTTATGAATACAAAGTGTATTTAACTCTATAGCTTCATGCACAGTACCTACATATTTTGAAAACCACTATTCAATTCAAAAGAAACTGAAGAGTTTCTAATCATATTATTACGGTGAAATGGTAATTTTAAATATTCGTGGAAATCATAACAGTATTTGACTGTATGTTAATTAATTTCATGTAAACCGGGAAATAAGCAGAAGGTAGAGGACCAGTTGTCGACTTAATGACTACAATATCCTCCTATGAATATAGACTTTAGGTTATAAGAATGTCTTAACAGTGATTTTATCTTGTATGGTTTCTTACAGTGTAGAAATCCTTTTGAATTTCTGTTAAGTTGATTACATTTCAGACATTCTAAGCTGGAATTCGATGCAGAAGAATGTTCATTCCCTGCCACTACAATTCACCTGTCTCGTGTTCATTTGAATTACTGCATATCTAATTTTTATGTTCTCTGCCCAACACCATAGGATTCGTAAAAAATAGAGATAATATCAAAAGTGACTCTAAGTAAATATCATGAATCTTTCTTTATCATTATTTATTCTCTTGCATAAACATAAACTACACAAAAGGAATAACTTTAAACTACTTTCATGCAGCTGTTCTCACTTTTCAAATGTTCACTCCTTTTCTTTTCCTTATTTACAATATCATTTAGTGTGTGCATAATTTAATCTCTTTTAAGTGGTATAACGTGAATGTCGTCGCACCACAGTGCAAATCCGATATTTTACTTATAAAAGGTTTGTGAAAATAAACAATTTTATTACACGACATTGTCGATTTACACACTACGTAAAGGATGGTAGCATCAAAAGTTGACTCATTACAATGTACATTAAAGGATATGTGAGTGTAATCTTCAAATTTCGGCTTTAGCTGTTTGTCTTTTAAAAATTTTAATATTTTTTACTTGTTTGTGGATAGCAGAGGAACATTTTGATTCTAATAACTACAAGCTTTTTGTTTTCATTTCAGGAAAACGAATAATGACATTCTATCTGAATCAGTTGACAGGTGGACAGTTCCAGTCAGCTTGAAGTCGGACCCGCACCATTCATCACCACCAAGTTTATTCTCGCCAAAAAATGAAATGAAAGGAACACATTATGTTTGCGATGCACCTGTAATTAAGCAGCCTAAGTTAGAGATACCTTTTCACAGGACATTGAAATCTAGCTCAAGTATATCTCATCCTTTTTCTGCCTGCAATCTTGCCAAGTCCCCAGATAATATATAGGAATCAAATAGAAAAATTTAAACAGCTAATCTTCAACGGAAATACACCACTATGTCACTGTACAGCTAAACACAAAAATGTGGACAGCATATTAAAAATCAAATGGAGTAACTACCCTCCATGATATTCACATTTTACACATATTTTATGTTGGTTTGATTAAATAATATGACCTTGTTGTTTGCTTTTCTGTCACATTGCACTGAATCTCTTCAAGTTAACTAAAGATTATTTCTATGACCAGTATTGAACAAATAACGAACTTTTCATTGTCAATGATAAGACTCCAACCTAAAAATTAATCACACTTATTCGCGGTTGCAATACGGAGTTGTGAATCTGATTTTTGAGAATAATCTCTAAGTAAAGAAATATCAAATAAATTATTTATTGATAAATCATGCTTAATCGTGAAGTGGATGGTTGATAATCATAACCATTATATTCCTATCTTTCTATTCATGACCTATAATTTTTGGACAGAATAATATTTTCCGATAAAGCACTTGTCAGTAAACAGTTCTACGTTTGAATTATATACGCAACTTAAGCTTTGCTTAAGACTGTGATCATAAACGTTTGCTCATTTTTCGATGTGAATTACATATTATAACCAAATGAATAATTTTGCATATTAAGAATTAACTACTGAATTCGAGTTTATTTGTTTAAGAATCCTACGATAATGAAGCCACTTTCAAACTGGCGTTCTGTGTCACATTTTTCATTCTGACTACTTTTTGTATTACACATTCTTTGTGGAAAAGTATGCTTAATGATAATAAGTCAGAAAAGTAAGATAAATGCACATTCCGATCTCCAGAAACCGTTTCTTCTGACCACTTGAGTGTAGTGTTATACAGATCGTGACATATAAGTAGCTAATCTGTTGTTGTTTTGAGTTCATGTCGAAATTAAAAATCAGTTAAGTATTTTAGAGTACATTTTCAGACACTTCATCCGAATAAACTTTCATTCGCAGTTTGTCGTATTATGATGTATGAGACAGTGAAACAGTACTGATGCATGGTAAAGCTTTGATAGCATAAAATGTTAGATGATGAATAAAACAGGCTTTATACTTATTCCCATAAGAAGAGTGTTGATTTCGGTCAGGCTGTCTCAGAGAACTTTCCGTTTACAGAATCCTATGATTTTGTTTAAAAGCGACAGGCCCCTGAAATGAAATCTAAGAATCTTTTATGGGCCTGTGGTTTTTGTAGCTGCCTGCTACAACTTCCTCTGTTCACCGTTCTGTCTCACTATTTCACCTTGTGTTATTTTCCTTCAAACACAGAAATTCCAACGATCTTAGATCTAGTATCAGTAAGGAATGCCATATAGCTAAAAGGATACTGTTTACTTTGGCGTAACAAAGTTTAGATTTCGTAAGATGTGATCTAAATTTATGTGTTCAGAATTTCGTGTGATCCAGTATTTAGCAAAATTAAGAAATAAGGATCAACGTTTATCAAATCTGACAATCAAGAGGGAATAAATCTTCTCACAAACTTTAGTCTAATATAAACCTAATGAATAGAGATGGTTTCTGTGTCTGGTAGGCTTTCTAAACCAACACACTATAATGTGACCATGAAGAAAATCCGAAATTATTTATCACATTCAAGTAGTAAATTTTAAAAGATATGAATGCAAGATGATTTATAAATAATCGTCTATGTATTGCATAAACAAGTGAAGGTTCATTTGTACATTTACTACAGAATGATAAGTGTGATAACATTTCCTTTGTAGTTTTCTCGGCATAAATGATCACTTACGCACAAACCACATACGTACTTATATGCATCCACTCGTTAACACAAATCTCTGCTACTAAACACATTATAGACGTTTAAGAGTAGATTATAATTTATAATATGCCGCCTAAGAACGTAAACAAACTATCTAAAGCAATGTAAACAGTTAGTGGATAATAGGGAATTATATTTCGGCTTACCTGTGGTTGTTTCTTCAACTGTCTATTTGTATTTCATAGACGTATTTTCTCAACGAGCAAACATTCAATGCACTGTATTCAACGGCCCCTTTTCATACAGTTGAAATCACTGTGTTCAATCTATAGTCATGCATATTCTTTCGCATTTTCATGTTTTGCCAGTGTTCTATGAAAATTACTTATATATAACCATCACTTGTAATCTGTATGTGTGTAGTAAGTTATATTAGCTTGACTTAATAAGATGAATAAGAATAACAATAGCAGAAGACAATCAAAATAAGGACAAATATTTGTAAAATATTTCCACTTACTTAGAAACTTGCCTCTTCCAGTATTAGCAAAGGTAGCCTGTCAAAGTGAGTGGGATTTTTTTCTGTAGTATGTAAAGAAAAAAGTTTCTCTGTACTTTCTTTTAGTTAATTTTAGGTAAGACATTTCTTGAGGATAAACAAGAAAAATAGCCAAGTGTAAGCAAACGAACACATTCATAAATACATACGAATCTAGATATCTGCATTTGTATGAAATACGACTTCAGGTTTCATAGGGTAGTGTAAAAACTGCCAAAATGAAGGGGGGTTACAATGAAATAATAATAACTTCGGAGACACAAGTAAATTAATCATGCCACTGTCAGTTCTGGTTGTGACTGTTTTTATTACCAAAATAATTCCCAGAAAACAATAACAATGTGCTGTGTATTTAACTCGCCAATGGTGGTGGTATCAAAACGAATTGCATTCTAGTGTATATATGCTTTAGCCTAATTATTATAACAGTATTACGAGTATTTACAATATATTTTTATTCATAATGACAAGCAGAAGTAACTGTATGATTAACTGGATTATATTATTGTTGGCATTTGATTCTGAAGTAAATATGTTCCTTACAGATTTCTCACAAAATCAAGTGTGGGTAAAAATAACAGTAGGATAGAGGTAAACACCAAGTTTGTTATATGCGAACACAGACAGAGACAACAGATGAAGGTCAAAATTTGCTAGGTGGAACCAATAATAACAAGTAAATATTTTAGATTATAAAAAGAAAATATCACCTACGTTGATATGATTTTTATGGATCAAATTTCACTCATTCTACGCTGTCACATGACAATTTATGTGAATTTTAGTAATTTGTTCAAAATTTTTCACAAAGCATTGTTGCTTGACCTCACATACCTTTTATCCCATAGAATAGTGTCAACTTCAAGTTTCACACGATAAGACTTTGCTTATAAATTATCACTAGTATGTTTTACTACGAAGTTTTTAAGTTCCCAGTTGTTTTGCATAAGTCACAGGGAAATCACACATGAAGTTTAATTAATGACCTGAACAATTACGTCAAGTGAATATACAACTAACATTAACTGTTAGCTAGAAGATCATAATCATGGTTTTAACTTGAGTACTTGTAAAAATAGCGCCAAATAACTATTTCTGTGTGAATAAAGTAATATGGACTCAAGATTTAATCAGTTCGAATGGTTAGTAATTGACATTTCCTAACATTCGGTTGAAAATATGTTTGCTGAAACATGGATCATCAAATCCTTTTCAGAGTGGAAAAGATGCCATCGCTTTCATATTTTTTAGTAAACTGAGTAAGGCATATTTTTCCTAATGTGTTAAATTATTCAAAATACCTTTTTTATAAAGGCACTGTTGCTTCAATCAGTTAACAGTGGAATATATTACCCTCAGAATATATTGAACGGACGATTAGTATCACCGTCAGAAAGCCCTTACTAAGAGTCGAAGTCTCACAAGCCAAAACACATAAAGTTTTCCCAAACAGTTGTGCTTCCTTCGCGTCTGATTTTCTGTTGAATAGTGCATTTTGAGAACTTCAGCAGTGTTGTCAAGCGATCTATTTCACACATTGTAAAAGTAAACCAAGTTTGTTTGATTTGCTTACCAATTTTAGTGCATCTCTGACATTCTGCACGTTGCTTAGGGCACGCCAGATAAGCAGGATGAACAGTACTGTACATAGTTTTTCATACTTTTACTTGGTTTATTGACCGATTTGAGGTAGTAATAAAAAATGAAAATAACTTGACTGAAAAAATATGTATGAATAGTACAGAGCGATACAACCTCCGACCTGATGATCTTAGAACCAGTCACCTCTCTATCAGTCTTCGAGAAATAGTTGCGATGGTGATAAAACCCCATCTAAGTGAGGATGATAATTCCTCAGATAACAAACTAAAAACTTTCTCCTAAAAAAAAACCTATCTGAATTCAAGTTACGAACTTTATAGTAAGATGAATCGTGTTTCGTAAACTTAAAGCTCTAATAATGGGTCAGGATAATTTGTGACCCTTTTCAAGCCACTTTGTATGGCTGTTTTTTTTGGGATTCTCCATGATACTGTTGTATGCAATTCCTCATAAATCGATGAAGTATTTGTGTTTACAAAGGTACTCCAATTTTCTGTTCTGCGGTCAAATCCTTACAGCCCAAGTTTGAAGTATGAAAGATACAGGCTACTTGAAAAAAGCATAGCCAGGTCACCGCACAACAATAATTAAGTTATAGTTGTCAAGAATATGAAAAATAAAACCGCAATTGGGAACTGAATATAAAATAAAGTTATTGAAGTTAGTCAACAAATTTTCACACGTGTAAAAATAAATATTTGACAACGTCAACGAAGTTCGCCTGGGGAAGGATCGTTTTTTACCAACTACTAAATACTGGAATTTCAGTGACAAGTTGGAATTTTCAAGGTTTCTCGCACCTAATATTGTTAGATGCATATTTCGTGAATACAACTCTTCTATCACTGACATTACGCTTCGAAACCTCATGGTCAGTACTTTGCCATGTACTTCGTAAGAGAACCAGTCAATCACATCTTATTAATATAATTAAACACAATAATCACTCACACCCGATGTCTTCATTAACTAGTGTTTTTTCCATAGCACGCGAAAATACGAAGTTTCCGTCACTTAATCATTCACTCTCTCTCAAGGCACATCTGATCACAACACCACAAAGACGGTTATCTTCGCAACAACTGAGGGATTTAACCAGAGACTATAATTTTTTCCGTACCAATAAGAAAGCGGAATGGCAAGATGTCATTCTGTATCGAGATAGGTGCTATAATGTTTGTCGTGAAAAATTATTGGTGAAAACTGGCCGAAATCAGTGCAGGTTAACACTCCGTACAAACTTTACGATCTGATGTTGATTAACCCAATGCTTTACACTAGGCAAATTCATTATAAAATCTTTATTTCATATCCCTCGTCATTGTGCCTTATTTGCCACACCCACTCTCAGTCCGTTAAAGTTTCCAAAATGTATCTCTTTTAGTAGATCGAAGTCATGAAGCATATGTTTACCACGAGTTTACAGAAGTCATGCTGGTGATCTTCATTTCGAATAATTTCAAAAACAGAATAGCTTGTTAAGTTAGAAGCATGAAAATGACCTATTTCCCTTGAGTTTTGTCTCCAAAACTTCATATTAACTGTTTAGGAGTATAATTATCTTAATCACCTTAGACATGTAGGAAGGTTTTTGTCCATTTAACTTTTTTAGCGAGATCAAGCTTCACTTTGATGTTAAAAACCTAATTTATTTAACTCTGAATCTCGACATTACAACAGTCTTTTGTGTAGTATACATATATTTAGGTGTCAGCTATACAGTACTGAGATATCTTGAATGTTTAACAGAAACTAAGATCACTATCTTCATCTACTGACCTGTAAGCAAGGAATACAACTCAGTCAATGTACATGATCTGTTTGCTTCAAATTGTAGAATCACGTTCATTTTTTGCTCTTTCAACCTACTCCTCAAACCTGTTGCATCGTGTTTATTTTAG